AGCAATAGAACCGTTATAACTTTGTACTATAAATTAAATCCAACAAATAAAATACAAATGAGAATGAATAGAAACTATTATCAGAGTATCAACTAACAGCAGCGGAACGCAACCAAATGGGTTTTCTAAATAAATCAGAATACTGAGGACTGATGCCCATGCCTAGAAATGGTTTCAAGTTTTGTTATTCATAGTGCCATAAGCATACGATTTAACACTTAATTACCTGCATTCAAACACCTTCTTTATAATACATGTATTACATCATCTACAATATGAAGTTCAGTATATGATGAATTGCTGCACGATGCTACTATAAACACTAGGGGTAATTCTGTTCTTTATCCAGAATGCTTTCCAAAAACATGGTGAAGGCAAATAAGATGGAAGCTTGTTAAGATCGTGGAAGAGATGAAAAGAAAGAGCTCCCTGCAGTATCAGTGAAGTGAACTGGTGAAGCAAAAATTCTTTTTCAGCCCTCTGAACCAACAGCTAAATCATCCATGCTACATACCGTAAAGCAAACAATCTGTCCTTCAGCTTTCATTAGCTGAATAAATTCAGTATTTAATTCAGCCAGCGCTCAGTACCACTGACATTAGTCTCATCTAAATGGAGCTATAATTAGACAGGAAAACCATTCAGTTCATATTTGCATAAGATTTTTACAACCAAATTCTACTGAACAAGGAAAAGCCATAATTAAAGGAGAAAAATTGTGATCTAGATAAGAAGTGACACAAAAGAGGAACATGTCACACAGCTCAGTAACTGAAGACAAACATGGAACGGCTGAAATGCTGTTTCTTAGCACCGATAATTCAGAAAAAGATGGAAAACAAATACTCTGCCTCATCTAGGCCATAATCCAACTGCCTTTGAAGTCAATAAGATCCTCCCCTTCAGGATCTTTTCAGGGAGAGTTGTTAAGCCTGGGAAAAGGTTGTCCAGAGCAGTTGTGCAATCTCCATCCTTGGCAACATTTAAGATTCAGCTAGACAAGGCCACTGCCAACCTCATTTGATGTGGAAATTTTCAGCAGGAGACTTGGCTAGGTGACCTCCAGAGGTCCCTTCCAATCTAATTCTTTGTGTTATTTTAATAATATCCGTTCTAAATCACAAGAGAGTTTCTTGTCGCCAGTGTTTGAGGCTCCAGCACAGATTTTCCATTGCTTAACCACTCTCGCTGTGAATAATTTTTTTCCGTGTATCAGTCATAATTCCCCTTGCTGCAGCTTGTGACTGTTGCCTCTCATGCTTCCACTGTGCACCCTTGAGAAGAGCCTGGCTGACTTCTCTATAGATTCCCTGCAGTCTGCAATTAGATCTTTTCAGCCTTGCCTTCCCTTCTCAAGATTAAACAACCTCAGCTCTCTTCATACAGCACACAACTACAGCTGCTGAACCTTGACACTGTCCAACTGTTACCTCTCTCACACCGGGTGGTCCCCATTTGCTCTTGTGCCTGAACAGGCTTTTTGCTCACCCACCTTACTTGGCAAACTGATGGAACACCGCCCTACTCCATTTTGACCTTTTATTTTGTCTGATACAGCACATATTTTTAGCCTCCTCCTATGCAACAGGCTTCTTGGTTGCCTGATCACCTTGGCAAAATTTCCTCCCATTTGGCTGTATGAATTCTTTACCTTAAACAAGGATAAATGGGTATTAACTGGTCCAAGTTTATAGGGGGACTTGTGGGAAGTCTACAGGAACTTCAGCCCTTCCTTCTCCTTCCTCTCTGCATTAGCATCCTCCAGTGTAACACATCTCTTCATCCATGCCGTACGGCCACTGCTGTGCAGCCCCCATTTTAGATCAGGGCTGAACTCGGGTAACTGTACTAAGTATTCCAGTGACTGTCTGGTGAGACCTTTTTGATACCACTATCTCTTCACTAGCCCTGTTGGAAACACCACCCTCTGTATACCCTAGAACAGTACTGCCTTTGGCACCGACAGCTGGTCTGCACCCTGGGCAGGTTTCATGGCACCCAGCTTTAGCTGTCTGAGAAAAGTGATCGTCCTGTCCTGAGAGAGAGGGCTGCCCTCCTTCAGGTGCCCATCTGTCTCTGGTTAGAGGGAGAGGCCAGACAACAAGCTCATCATTACACAGCCGAAGTTAGGTGAATTAATCTCATATCCTGTGACCAATTAAAACATTCACATTTTTCATTCTCCTCTGTCACTTCCACCTGACAAACCTCCAGCACTGAGAGAGAAATTCTTGTCATCAGTCATCCACTGCCTGACCTTGTTTGTTTTTTTTTTTTTCCCCTTTTTTCCATTTATATCACACAGGAACTCCTGTTTATTTCTATCAGGTATCTCCCTCTTCTTCACACACAAAGCCTCCCTGTGTCACATATACAGCAAATTTATCACCACGTGCCAGCCTTTTGATGGGGTAAAGGGAAGAGAAACAAGATAATTTACGACATTACAATCTCATCATGGAAAAATAATACTAATAACTTCCTACCAGCCAGCAAGTTATTTTTCCATCACAAATAATTATTGCTTACTCCTTTTGCTATAAAAACAGTAACTGAATAGTCTCACACTATCCCCTCGCCTATCTTAATTAACATATAATACCACATTAAATGTGTTACAGAAATCCCTGCATTAGCTTTACTGAATGTCTTTCATCTTAAAAAACAACACAAAAAAGCCCCAACAAACTACCATGGTAAAATGCCGTTCAGTTTTTTGTTGAAGTCATAGAAGAAATGTGAAATATACAACATGAATATCATAGGAAAGATTAATAGATTTTAATAAAGAAGTTGACAACTGAGTGGGGTCCCTGAATCAGGACTCTAATCGCTTAACAGCAAATTCTCTCTTTTTCTTTTATCTCTTTTTCTTTTTTTTTTTTTATTTTCCCTTCTGATACATTTCACAGACATTGACCAGACAAAATAACCATTTAGAAATTTCTGGGGGAACAATTCTCCAGGGCTAAGATTAATGATTGTAAGCATGCATTACAATAGCAGGGGGAAAAGAAAACACACACACAAAAGAATCTTTACAACACCTAGTTCCAGAAGGCCTATTTTAAAATATTATATTTGAACATGCCAATTTGGTAGACATCAGTAAAGATTTTTGCCTCAAGTTCTTTTCTTTGTTTCCCTTTTCTTTATGCAGTTAAATCAGCAAGGATAAATGTCTACAGACAAAATTATCTTGCATCAAATATTGACATGACTTTTAAGGTTAGTTGCTGCAAGGCCAGGATTTAAAAGCAAATTAAATTTGATGCATGCCATTTCAAAGGTCAGTTAGAAAGGTATATGCTGCACCCATTTTACAATGCAACCCTCAGGGAGGCAAATGTATTGAATGCTGCAAGGAGACATTGCAATAATGAAGATAATTACAGTAATAGGTAGGTAGGTAATAGGGGCTTAATTAGATCAGAACAAGCATGTTATTTAGAGAAAAAGAAATTGCAGTGTATTAAATTAAAAGTAAATTACAACAACTCAGTTCAGTACTTATTTCAAGTTAATAGTTGACACACTTTATTGTATCTTTAAAGGGACAGAGATATTACAGCAAAAGGCAGCAAAGATGTTTGTCATCCAGCACAGTCCAGTGTCACTGCATATGAAGGCCCTATCTCACCCAGAATATTGCTATTCTGATAGAGGCTGTGCACACACTTAATTTCCTGATTTACCTTCCTGATCTCAATAATTTTCAATAACAGAAGTGAGATGGCATGAATCCTTTGTTATTACTTGAGTAGCTTAAGGAATAAATAAGTGTCCATCCCTGAAACGTGCCCTCACTGCAAAGGAAGAATTTCTATGAGATAAGCAGATGAAGGAGTGAGCAGGGCAATTCTGAAGATGGGTAGTGTCTGCATGAACTGGTACACGGTGCTGCAATGGTGCTAAGCTTTGTCACTGGAAAAAGCAACCCCCACCTTCCCTCAGACAGCTGTTCCCAGCACCTCTTTTTGCCGAACTGTTCCCGCTTAAAATGTCTGTGAATTTACTGCCTTAAAAATGTGTATCTGACCAGCAGTCAGTATGTAATCCATAGTGCTACTGCTCTGCCCTGCCACATGACTCCAAAACATGAATGGAAAAGGGAGAGAGGCAGAAATAGATTGACCAAAATTTAATTGCTCTGCACCTTGGACAGCAATTTATTTTGGAGGGTTTCTGATTTATTAGTATCCCGTAGCCATCTGCATAGGTGAAACTAACTTTATGAGATGCATGGCAGTGTACCTGAGTAAAAGAGGAGTGAAAAACAATGCATGCTGTAGGCTAAGCCTTTAAGGTGTAAATACCAACTGAGATGGCAGGGCTGTCATTGCATCACTTAGTTTACAGGAGTGACTTTCACTGCCAATTCTCTCTAGTGTACAGCTTTTACTCTGCAGGTAGCACACCTTAGGGTTAAGACAGTCACCAACATTTGTGCTGTCACGCAAGCTCTTGACTAGACAAATACCTCTGCCAGGCAATGTAGGGAGGCCCTCAGAGAGTCTTGTCCTGTTTTCTCAGCTAGACAGACAGTGGCCATTAAACAAAAAAATGACAGTTCCAATTCTCTGTAAGGTAATCTGGGATGATAGTTCAGTGACACACACACTGTCCTTCTGTGGTTCCTCTTACAAAGGTCACCGAAAACACCTTTAACAACGAGGGTGACTCTCATTACTTTCTGCATGTATCTTCGAAACAACAACAGCCCACAATAGTTCCCCAGAGAGTAGTCCTGTATTGCTAACGGAAATTCTGTAAGCTAGTATCTTCTAATTCTTTTATTATTATTATCCACTTGTATTACAGCCCTAGGCCACTTTACTGGTTCTGAAAGTAAGGTATTTCACCGTTCATGAGTGAAGTGACTAACTCCTGCCATCTAGAGGGTGGTTACTGGAACATAATCGAGGCAGGTAGTTTCAGAGGATAAAAGAACTGCTTATAAGCCATTTAAGTGAGACTAAGATAAAAATCGTAGCACCCACCTGTCTCCTTGGGGTTTTATAGTTTTTCCCCTCTTCTTCACGCATGTGTTTATGTAAAAATGCCTGTTCAAAGGAGAGGACAATCATGATGTCTGTGGATGTATAAGAGTTCTTTCTTCAACAGCTCCATTTATTCATGAAAGTAGATTAGCTGCCTACGATAATTCTTCTAAAATTGATTAAAACTTTCTGTTTGTATTTTTTTCCAGTGCTGTATCATTTATTCTCATTGTGTCCTTGCATTCATGGCTGCCTAAAACAGACTAGAATGGTCACAACCAGAATAAAACAATATTAATGTTTAATGGCATTCATTAAGAAGAGGCAGAATAACACAAAGAAGCTCTAAGGACTCACAAAAGATCATATTTTCTACTTAGGTTGTTAGTTAAATGGCATACAGCCATGGCTACTGATAATAGCTGAAAATTACTTGTCCATACGCTTTCTTACATAGGAGAAATGTCCAGTTAAGTGATCATCATTAATTTTTGTCTTAAACGATAATGCTGTTTTCTGTGTGTCCCAATAACCTGGTGTAAAGATCACATCTTGAAGGAAAGGCATGACAAGCAAACAATTTGTTGTGGGAGATGCAACCCTGGCCTCACCAAAGTTAAAAGTGTCTTCCTGGAAAGGCAATGGTGGCCAGTGAATACATGTCTCTCTCGCTAAGCCAAAATCACATTCCATAACTAGCAGCCAACTTTCAGTATGTGCATGACCAACTACAATGTGAAGCAACACAACCGCCCTACCTGATTGAATGGATAATCAAAGCACACAAGAAATACAGCAGTGCCCCAGGACTTATCTATATGAAATATGTATCAAACCCCTCCTAGGCAAAAGACTACAAAATACACTAGAATGTAATTGCTCCCTGATCCTTGCGCTCATCTTCATTTAAATATCTATACGATACACCATCTAATGGTTTTCACAAAGGGTTTTCCAGGCAATATGCACAAAAGCAATAAATATGCTTGTAGGTAGAACATTTGATATTAAAATGATTCAAAGACATCCTTACATTTCTACTTGTATGCCATTAATGAGGAGCAGTTAAGCAAGGGCTCATCATACAAAGAAAAGGGAGCAGGAAGACAGAGCTGTCTTCACCACATACTTCACACCTCATATGGTATCTTTCACGTGTGCCAATCAAACCAAGCTCCAGAGCTCACAGCTCTTGCGGAACTCAAGCAAGCACCACTTAGGTTACAGGTCTCTAGATAGCCAAGTTGGGAAATGAGCAGAAATTGCTGAGAAACAGACTGAACTCTCCTTCTGAAAGACAAGTCGATTTGTAACAAAGCATGACTCGCATAACCTCAGGCAAGACAGAGCTGTGTACAGGTTTTTTTTTTTTTTTTTTTATGGTACAGATACTATTTCCCTTTTTAAGCTACACTGCATTCCTGCCATTAAGATTAAACAGTATTTTGAAAACGGATGGAGCCACTGATGAAAGATTTCAAAAATAACTTTTCAGGTGCCAACCCTAATCAATTACAATCACCACTAACTGTTGCAATTACTATGCCCTAACATTTGGTCTCTGTCAAGTCAGCGTTGCAGGGCAATCACCATGAAAGCAAACAAAATTTGAGGATGGAACCACCACTGAACCGTAACATCCATACAAACAGCTTATAAAAACTTTTTCAACGATTTCCCAACCACAGTAAAACGGACGGCATATTTTTTTTTTAAGTGAGAAGAAAAATTATGTTAATTAGGACCTTCAAAATAACACGAAAAGAGATTTGGTTTTGTTTTGTTTTTTTTCCTAATTCTCTTCAGAACACATTCATGTGGAGATACTAGCTTTGCCTTTTTTTTTTTTTTTTTTTTATACAGGAAGATGCAAGTGCATGCAAATGCAGTCTGTGTTACAACACCAAGTGCCCAGTAGTACGCAAGACGCAAGTGCTAATTACTCCTGCTTGAGAGTGCTGCCTTTGGTACCCGCATATTTACCATTTTTTTAGGATGTCTCCTTCCAAAACTCTGGCAACACCTTTCCCTGCTGGGTGGAAATCGTGCCCTTTCTGGGTTCCCAAACATTCGACGGCCACCCCGCGGGTACCGCAATTCTGTGAGGAGAAAGCACAGATTTCCTATTTTGCCGCTGGTTCCTTTCCCGTCAGACGGAGCCCCAAACCTTCCCGCCTCCCCCAGCCCCCTTCTCTGCTTAAACTCCCGCTTTGCCCCTTCAGCCTCCTCTCCCCAGCACGCCGGGACGTGCCTCCGAGCCCACCCCGCTTCGCCCCCCGCGGCTGCCCGCCCGCCCGGGAAGGAGAGGGCCGGGGACCGGGCGGACTCGGAACCTTCCCGCCTCGCCGGGCGGGGCCGGGCGGGCACCGCACCGCACCGCGCCGCTTCCGGCTTCCGCAGGGCCGCTGGAGCCGGGCGGGAGAACCGGGGGGAGCTCGGGGGAGGGGGGGGGCGGCCCCGTCCCTTGTCCCCCGTCCCCGTCCCTTGTCCCCCGTCCCCGCAGCTTCCCCGCTTGAGGAAGCGAAGCGGCCGAGAAACACGGAGCGCGGCCGTCCAGGTTGGAAACGTGTTGCGACACGGTTTGGGGGGGGGGGGGCGGTGTGTGTGTGGGGGTGCGGGCTAGGTAACAATACGAAAAATAAGGTGATACATTGAAAGCTGGAAAAAGGCGGAATGTGCGGGGTTTTTTTTTGCCCCGAAAAGCTGCCCGACTCGTGGCGTTTCACCTTAAACGAGGTCGTGAGGGGGCGTCAGCCTCACGCTCGGCAGCCGCGACCGGCTCTCGGTTTTCTTGAATTCCGCAGGGAATCAGCTGCGACCCGGCAGATTTGCCGCGATTCCTCTTCTGATGACTACGCGTAAGGCCGTTTGATGGTCAGGTCCGAGAAGCCTTGAAACGCGGAAGGCCTTTTCTGGGCATTCGTGTTTGCGTGGCGTGAGAAGAGCAAGCCGGCAGGTTCCCTGCCCCCCCAGCTGAATCCCTTTTTAGAGCTGTTCATTATATTTGGCAGCAGGGTGGTTAGCGTACCGCCTAAGACAAGATAATACGACGCAAGGGAATGTCGTGCTCGGCCCAGAAGATCGAGAAATCTGGCGGTGCAATCTGTTTCCCTGTCTGCTGCAAATTTGGTGTGCATCTCTGAGACCTCATCAAGGACAGTCTTCAAGGGAGGGGTGGTGGTGGGGAATGGCATAGGCATGGTGCAACCTCAACAAAATTCGGATGCCAGACATTGTTGATGTACTGTACATAACACAACTGTCGGTTAAAATGCACGAGCAGTCTTCGGAGCTGCGGTGGGAGCTCTGCTGTCTTTGCCTGTTTTTACCTTACCGAATAATGCAGCACTTGAGGAGCAGTAGGTGAGGCTTTTACAAAAGGAAACACACAGTGCTTAGGGACCCAGTGCTCATGCAACACGTTTCAGGGCTTTTCCTTTGAACTACTGCTCACCTCACACACAGCCTCCAGATATCTGAGCTCTGTCCTTTCTGTGCTGCAGCATCAGCCGTTAAGATGGGGAGTCACACGCACTCCTGCTGCTGCCCTGACCCACTCTGGAGCATTTGGCTCCCAGGTAGAAAACTTCAGCTGGAGGAAAACCCCCCGTGCTCCGTAGGGCAGCAGGGTCAGACCTCCTTGGGCTGAGGAGGGAACCAGGCAGGGATGATTCCTGGTCAGCGTGTCTCGGGTGACTTCTCTTACAACAGCATCATAGATAAAAAGGAGAGTGCTAGCAGGGCTGTTTAAAAAGGCTCTGTTTGAGCAAAAGGTTTACACCATCTTTCTGGCAGGTAGATCTTAAGTGAGTAGCTCACTGTGGGTATTTCCTTGATAACTGGATCCGTTGTTTTAGGTCCTCCAGGGGCACTTTTCTCTTCTGTGCACCTTGCAGGGGAGCTGGACTGCAGACAGGTTCCACTGGCTCTTTCCTGTCCGAGCACTTGGTAACGGCATTGTGGTGCCTAAATAAGTTTTAGGGTTGTCCATCAGCCTCAGATTACAGAAGTGTTGCCAAAAGTGGAGCTAGAACATACAGCAGAGTCATTTTAAATACTGATTAGTGCTTTTAAAAGGTGCAATACTCTGATTTGAAAGGAATTGCAGGCGTAAACAGTTTTTACTATCATAATTTCTGGCATCATAACACTACTAAGCTCTAGTCAGACAATTAAAAGACAGTAAATTCCCTAAAAATTTAGAATTTGGAGCAAAGACAGCAAACGTTTTAAGTGGAAGCTCAGAGGGAAAGAGTGATAGAAAACTGATCAGTAACAACTGATGTTGTTATTTATTGGATGGTGTTTGAAAGCCTGGATTGACTTGACAGCTTTGTTAAAAGGACCTGACATTGCAGTTTTGTCGTTACTTAGTTTAATGCAACTTTCTAAAAACCATCTTAAAGATTTCTCATAATCTGTGTCCTCTAGTCATCGAGACTGTTTTTCATGAAAACAGTTTGTCATTTTGGCGCTTTCAGTTATGCGGTAATGTGAAGAAGTCAAGGTGTAAATAATAACCATTAGATTCTGTTGTTAAATTAGCAGTCAAACAGTTTGAAAATTAGTGTGCAGCCTCATATTGGACCTTCTGGTGTCAGAAATGTCACACTCTGGAATAATGACAGTTGCCAGCAGGCAGCTCAGCAATACAATTTTGACTGCAAAATATGACACTAATACAATTTAAACATGGTGCAGAATGCTACAGGGTAGGAAAACTGATTTATGTGTGCTATCAAAAACAAATTTTAGTATTTGGTCAGGACAATATATTTCTTTGTTCGGGAAAGTTAGGATTGTTGGGTTTATTTTATAAGGCCTTTTGAACAGAGATACTAATTTTTCTTCCAGATTTAAGCTGCTACAATTCACTGCCTGTTGATGCTGCAGCTGTCCTTACAGATACCAGCATGCATGTGTCTACATGTTTGCTTGGAGTTAGGGATGTGGCTGGGGAGAGCAGGTACCTCCCATTTCCTCAGGCCAGTGGCCCTGGTAGCCACCCATAGACCTACTGGAATCAGCAGAGCCTTGCCTGGGCAGAACTGTCCCATCAGGTGCGCCAGTTTCTGCCAAGCCCCAAGTCTGTAGTGATTTTCTTCATATTCCATAGGTGGAGATGGAGATTTTAAGATGACATTGAGTCTCTGTTATCAATTGTTTGAAAGGGTATTTCTGCAGTTTCAGAAATCCGAGGCAGAGCAAGGAGCACAGTCAGGTGGACTTGTAGCTAAAAGAACCATGGATCAGTTGTACAGTGCAAATATATGTTGGGGCAACTTGCTAGAGGCCAGATTTTCAAATCAGAAGTACTGTGGTGAGGTACCAAAATAAGAGCTAAACATTTCCAAAAATTTAGCCATCTTGTTGTCTGCAAGGAAGTGTGGTGTGGTAGCTACAGCACGAAGAAGCGTGTCCACCGGGGCCATCAACTGCGGAGTGGTTTTTTAGAACTGTGTCAAATAAGGCAATTTTTTTCTCAGTGGAGAGGTCCTTGCCTCTTCCTCAGCTGCTTTCTTATTCCCATGCTTGCTAAACAAATACCCCCACTGCCCCTTTCACTGTCTGGGCCTTGGAGGTGCTTGTTGTGTTGGGATTTTTTGGGTTTGTTTTTAACCTGTATCTGGTTTAAAACAACACCAACAGTAGTTACATTATCAAGAATGAGCGGATGATAAAGATGGAGCATAAGGAAGGGTATCTATTTTGGGCACCTGTGTTGGTGGGACAAATTCTGACATCAGACCACACCTTTAATCTCTCCATTTTCCATTTAATGAAGTCAGGATAATGTTTGCTGAATTTATTATAAACAGCGTAAACTAAGCTTATGCGAGTACTGCAGTACATTGTGGAGATGACAGGAGAGCAGTGGTCTGGTTTGTCTGATGGTCTCACCACAGTATTGCATTGCTTCTCTCCTAGAATGTTAAAATAGACATATGCGTTGAACCAAGTGAAATTAAACTAGTGTAAACCTTTCTTGGGAAACAGTGACATCTTCAAAGCAATGCATGCTCCTCTCTTCATTATTGCTAATATGCTAGAATGATAAATAAATGGTACAAACATCCCTTTGTTGTAGCTCTTAAATCTATATAATGACATTTTGTCTTCTAAGCCCTTACAAAATGTGAAATCTGCATTTTTGCAGTACATCATGATTCACTTACCTGAAGAATGCTTTTTAACTTAAGTAGTTAGCATGAGAAGAAAGAGAAGTGAAATAGAAAATGAGCAGATCGTCCTTATTAAATAGACAAGACAAACGAAAACCAGAGAGGCCCATCAAAACCCAACATACAAAACATAGTGGTTTTGTTTTTTTTAAGGCAAAACACTTCAAAGATAGTTAAGCGCAAAATTTAAGACAGCAAATTCCTTTCCAGATCACAAGATCTGTCATGATTCATCATATGACTTTTCTGAAGGGACTGGCCCTTATTCTATGTTTGAAAAGAAACTTTCAGAAAAGGAAATGAATGGAGATGAAGCACAGTTAAGATGGAAACTCCAGGTTTTTGGAGTTCAGTGCTGGATGCGTTATGTGTATCCATGTATTTACATACGTAGTTTTGTGTGCGTTCACTACATATCTACTTTTTTCCCGCTACAGACAGTGAAAAATGCCTAAAAAGAAGACTGGTGCTCGTAAGAAAGCTGAGAACCGTCGTGAACGTGAAAAGCAGATAAGGGCTTCAAGAGCCAACATAGATTTAGCCAAACATCCTTGTAATGCGTCAATGGTAAAATAACCTAAAGTATTTTATATTACAATACTTGATTTTAAATGATGTAAAACCAGTGATAATACATGGACTGTATTTAATGCCACTAGAAAGTCATTCTTCCTACCATCCTTCCTTTATATTGAAGGTTACATTTGCATCAGAGGTAGAATACTTGAATAAAAAATTTGTTTCCTAATCAGAACTTAATTCAGAGCCCCTGTGGGGTCTGTAGATTTTATGTATTTTACCTAGAAGAAAAATAATTACCAGTATTTATTTCTTTTCTTCAGGAATGTGATAAATGCCAAAGGTAAGTATTTTTCTCCTTCTAAAACCAGTAGTTTAATATTAATTGGTTTCAGACATTACAGGTCTTCTTTTAATGCTTGCTTTCTTTTTTCTGCCCCCTGCCACGCGCCTAGACGACAGAAGAATAGAGCTTTTTGCTACTTCTGTAACTCTGTTCAAAAATTACCCATTTGTGCACAATGTGGTAAGTAGAAATAACAAATGAAAACATGCTATCCTCAGTCCCATTTGTGGTGTTGATGTCTGAGCAGTTAGAGTACCTTTGTCTTAAAGTACCTTTGTGATTTTTTGGAGTGGGTTCTTTTAAATCTGCTGTGCATATCTTTCTTGAGAAGAGATCTGCTTGATCATGCACTAATGTGTATGCCTCTGACCCCCAGAGTTGTGCAAGTCTGGGTCATGGGCTTGTCTTTAGTATTTGATCTTTGGAAGAATTTGTCTCGCTGCCTTTTAGGATTGAGAACATCTGACTGACCATTTCCCTAGATGGACTGTGTGGAGTATTGTTTCATAACAGCAGCAAAGTTAAAAATGCTCTGACTGCCAGCAAGGCACCAATAAATACTGCTTTTTAGGGATGATACAATTTCTGATCAGTTTAATATCAATTAAAGCAACAGTACATTGTTCACCTTGCCTGGTTTTGTAACATAATACGCTGCTTGTGTTATTTAGATGTGCTAGAGGGTTAATGCTTTGAAAACAGAAGAGGCAGACTCCTAGTGCCAGATCTCAGCTCCAAATCAGGCTAAAAATGCCCGTCTTTATTTTAAACAGCTGCTTGCTTGCAGGGGATGTTGATAATCATTGTGTGCTTTGAGGTGAATTTTCTTGTTTTGCTGTTTCAACACATTCCTGCAGATTTTCAGTTCGTCATTAAGCAATTTGACTGTTTCATAGTTCGACTCTCAGAGCTGCTGACATCTGTAGCTTCCGGTGTCTTTGCTGGGACCTGCAGACACTGAGCATTTCTGGAAGCCAGGCTGTTAGTGTGCAATGGCAGGGTGTCATCCTTCAAAGTCCTCCTGTCGTCATGCAGTGAAGTACTAAAAACATGGTGTCTATCTTACAGTATATTATACGTCTGAAATTGACTCCTGTCTGTTGAATTTATCTTAAATCAGCAGTACATTTCTGAAGGAAAAGCATTCCTAATAACAACCGCGAAATTACATTGAGTCCCAGGGTTTTCCAAGACAAAAGACCATTAGGGCTGTCTGGTGCTTATTTGAGCATTGGGCACAGCCCCTGTAAACCAACAGCATCTTTCTTAGAGAAGTCCCTGAGGGATGAGAGCAAGGTAGCTGTATTGCAGTGCTCCAGACCCAGTAATACCCCACCACCTCACGTTGCCCAGCTCAGCCCACCACTGGTCCTTCCTCACCCTCCAAGTGCCATTTGGTATCTGAGGTGTAATTTAATACAAAACTCTGCCGGTGCTGCATACCGGGATTTAATTACGTTTTCAGAGTAGAATTCGGTTTTGTCAGCACTTGAATAGGTTTGCAGGGACCACTCTTTTCTTGGTTTCTATAAGCAGGCCATAACAGAGACACCAGAGGGGTCTGTGGCAGGGTAGCTTAAATCAGTGATAAAACTTAACTGCAGTAGCCTTGTCTAATTACAATATTTTTTTGCCTGTTTAACTGCATACAGAGTGTGGATCTTTCTGGTAGTGCTATTTATATCAGAGGCAAAGAGTAGGGAAAATTTGTCACCCTGACTGCTCGCTTGTGTCAGAATGACTTTTAAGTGCAGACTGTAGCTTTTTCTCCCACCCATCCCCTGCATTTAAAGGGAATTATTTTGTCTGGGAAATAATATCTTACATGGTTTTAGAAAAGAAAACCCAACAACCACCACCAAAAAGAACAAGTATCCAAATACCTCTAAGTAATTAAATCAGGTGACCTCTGGAAGGGTTCGAGGCCAGGTTGGACGGGGCTTTGGGCAACCTGGGCTGGGGGAAGGGGGCCCTGCCTGTGGCAGGGCAGCTGGGTGATCTTTAAGGTCCCTTCCAACTGAAACAATTCTATGATGGGTGTTTGGTTTCTTGTTTGTGTTTTTTTGTTTGTTTGTTTTTGTTGTTGTTTGTTTTTGTTTGTTTTTTTGTTGTGTTGTTTTGTTGTTTTTTTTTTTAGAGGTCCTCAGCCTTGCACACAGCACATGCTGCTTTTATGGTGGGACAGAACTAGCAGCAGTTTTAAGTGCAACTTTTTAAGATGTCATTGCCTGACTTTCATCTTAATTTTGTTCTTTGATTTGTTTTGACATCTGAAATTCTTGCCAATGTGTCAAAACAGAGGAAGAGAACACATTGCCTTACCTCTGTACTGGCAAAAGAGATTTTGGCTGAAAATAAACAATAATTAATTTGATCAAAGGGAGATGTGGGGGGGGGTTGCAGGTTGCAGACATTTGTTTGCAATATTTTTACCTAGATTTACAATTAAATATGGGTGTTTGGTGGAAGTACTGCTCTTATGAAAATTCATTCTACTTTTTAAAATATTTTTATATAGTTTTCTTCTGGTTACTTGCCTTTTTTTAAACAGGAAAAACCAAATGCATGATGAAGTCTTCAGACTGTGTTATAAAGCATGCTGGTGTGTACAGTACTGGACTAGCAATGGTGGTATGTATACAGAATTACAGCTTTTTTTGCACTGTGAGGCTATTTTATGCAAATACTTCCGAAAAAAAGATAAAACAGATTTATGGAATGATAGCATGTATGACACCAAATTTTTTTTTCTCATCTTACCATCACAAACTGATTTTTCCCTTATACTGGAAACCCAGATTTTGCATTTTTAGATTCAACTGCTGCAGACTTTGACACATGTCCTGGATGGTAACAGCTGTGTGTTGGTGGCAGGCCCTAAGCCCATGTGTTAACAGCACTGGAGCTTACATGCCCCGGAGCCAATTCCCAGGCTCCATTAAAATCTGGGTTCATTCTGTAGAAACCAGTGGACTTTGTTACTGTCATCTCAGCATTGCAGAGAAGAGTGTTCCATGGCATTAGAGAGGAATTAAAAAAAAAAAAAATGTGGCCTTTGAATTTTTTTTCTTAGAAGGACAAGTACTCCATTCTGGAAAGCAAGGTATGAGGTGTCATAGCCTCTTGATTAAATGCTGTATGGTCTAAACCTCTGCCCTGTTTCTGCCTCTAGTTGGCAGTCAGCTTTTCTCAGTAACACACCCGGCCTTTCTAGTCCGAAGGTCCTAAACATTCTATGCATTCACTGATGCAGTATTTTCATGAGCAATTCATTTGGATTCACCATTGTTTTCTTAGTTTTGTGTGCATTAGATGCACACAGGAGTTTGTTAGGTATGGGCTGAGGAGGCTTCTAAAGTGCTACAATTAAGGGATAGTTCATGTCTAGATCTGTAGTGTAATCAAAATGAAAGTTACACAGTAACTTATTCTAATGAGTTGTTTGATCTTTGCTCTCTGCAGAGCTTGTGTTCCATATAGCATGGTTTAAAATTTGGATGAGTGATTTCAGCTGTAAAAATCTAGTGGTATTTTTCAGGTCTTTTTCAAAATTGCATTTTTGCTAGAACATTGTTATCATTTATGGAACTCCTGTTTCAGCTGGAGGACAGAATTTTCATGCATAAGATAGGAAATATGAAAAATAGAAAAGGAGAAAACCAAGTTATTTTGCATTCTATTTAATCCTCCAGAAATTAATACCAAATGAATGAAATGAACTGTGGAGCAGCTTGATAGGAATACAGATGTGGTTCATACTCTCTCGCTCTACTGGAATGAACCCACTGAGAGAATGGATACTTGGTTACATTCAGGGTTATGGAATAAGAGTCTCTTCCTAGGTATTGCAGAACTCCCAAGATGATATCTTTCTGTAATTGCAGGGTGCAATCTGTGATTTCTGTGAAGCCTGGGTGTGTCACGGGAAGAAATGTCTCAGCACACATGCGTGTATCTGCCCTCTTGCAGATGCAGAATGTATTGAGTGTGAAAGAAGTGTCTGGGACCACGGTAGGTTGCTAACACTTAAAAATAAGTACCTGTGTTTTAACTTAGCATTTTTAATCTTCACTGATCAGTCCTTGCAGTATGTTTGATTCAAAGCAAGGCATTCTCCCCATTTTAAAAATAGACCGTATGCAGCGGGGAATGTAAATGACCTGCTCAAGAACATACAGTGCTCAACTCAGGAATGGTTATGTCATCTAAAGTATTAACCGTCCTATCAGCTGAGTGTTTCATGTAATTAAGCACTGCATCAGATTGTCAATGCACAATTTTCCACCATTCCCACTCCATTCATCTGTGCTAATACAGGTATTTGGATTCCCAATTGCTCAGAAAACCACACTGATCTTAATATGTGGAATCCTTTAAAGTGTTTATTTCAAGTGTGCATCAGAGGTGAGGGAGTGGGAGGGAGTAAGACTGGATGAGAGAGAATGTGATCTGATTTAAGAAAATTACTTAATGCCACAGTTGAATTAAAATGAAGAAAAGGACTAGAAGTAATACTTGCTTTATAGTTATGCTGTCTTGTATTGTAGGATACACAGTATTTTTCATTGTAATAACGGGTGGCAGTGTCTAGCATAGGACTTTGTTGAAGCATTTGTGACAGAAGGGAGAACTGGTCTTCAGTCAAAACTACTGCCTAAATTGTTTGCAGAGCAGAACTTGATGCCTATGCCTGTTGCTGATTATTTTACCTTGATAAATCTTTTAGGAGGCAGAATATTTGCCTGCTCTTTTTGTCACAATTTCCTCTGTGAAGATGATCAGTTTGAACATCAAGCCAGCTGCCAAGTTCTGGAAGCAGAGACATTTAAATGTAAGTTAGTTATTCATAGTCCCTTTCACCACAGCTAAGCAGACTCTCCAATTGCTCCAGAATAGTCTTCATCACCTTTTTCAAATAGCTTTTACCACCACTGGAGGAAAGGGCCTGTTTCCTATGTGCTTGCTCTTGATTATCCAGTTATCTAGACTAGAGCTTCTCTCTCTGACCTTCCTCCATGCCAGATTGTACATGGCAGTTGTTTCCTTGCCTGGCTCTTACAGGCCTGCCTTGGGAAGCTGCCTTTGCAGGAGCCAGTGGTCTCTAAAGTGCAGCGTTGGCAGTGGCCAGGACTGCAGCAAAACTACTGGAAGTGCTGATGCTGCTTTTTCACTCCACAAAGCTCTCAGGCAAGAAGGAGCTCTCTTCCACTCTTCTGACCATATGTAGAGCTCTTTTCTAGATACTTGTTCCTTATGAAAAACAGCTGCCCTAAATAATACCACCTGTGTTAGTCTGGCTAAGCTTGCCCAGAGTGCTATGGATGGCCTGTATTTTGGTGAAAGGTTAGCATCTGTTGATTTTACAAAAGCAGGAAGTCCTGAGGAAGGCCATGGCTTGGTAAGCAGTCATCATCTGATTCAGTGAGACAGGGCGAGCATAGAAGGAAGTCACAGAAGTAGTGTTCATCCAGAGCGTGAACTCAGCGTTACTTTCATTGCTGACCAGTGGACTGTGGACATGTGTGTCAGCAGATGTAGCCAATGTTCACACATGTCCACTTCTACCAAGTAAAGAATGGGTAGCTGAAGGTTTTATGACCTTTTGAACTTTGACAAATCGTGTGGACAAAACTGAAACTGGTATTTGTTAGAGGGCTTGATGGCCATGCCTGACACTGCCTGTCCACTACTCGGCTCTGGCTGAAACAGGAAAACCTCAAGAAAAGTTAAAAACACCCCAACACCATGCATGTTTGAAATAACTTATCTTTTGTAGAAGTATTTCATTTTTGTCCACCATTAACTACTATTTGTTTTATCCCATGAGACAAGCTTTTGTCCCTTCCAAAACTTGTATGTGTGTATTTTGGCTATTACAACATCTTCAGTCCTTATTATAGAAATTCAAGGTGCTCTATCACGTGTAAGACCTCTTCAGAACTGACTAATCTCTTGTCCTAACTGATTTCTCCCAATTCAGAATATTTGTTGATCTCAATGATACACTCTGTGGCTTTAGAAATCTAGCTCCTTTTCATCTCCTATCCTTTTTTTTTCCCAGCCAGCTATTTTCTATGCCTTGATTAGCTTCCCTTGATGTATTCTGCCAGAATATCTTCCTGCGTAGCAATATTGAAGCAGCAACAGCTGTTCCACAAGAATGTTTTTTTCAGTAATTGTTGGAAGCTTTTAATTCACAGATGTGATGTCACACCCTGAATAGAGAAATTGCTTTTTAAGGGTTTTCACCATGTTCAACGTTTTCTGGCACAGTGCAGTCTTGGTAGAGAGGCAGGATTTTTGTCAGTGTGTGGTAACAAGATTATAAAACCTGAACTTTTACAGAATACTTGAACTTGAAACGCAGTCATGCAATTGTAGTCTAAATCCTATTCTAGCTGTGAAAAAGGTACTGTTACTTTCTACCACTATCCAAGAGAAGTTTTTTAAAGTGCAGATAGTCCAGAAATGTTTGAATATACATGCATTAGTTTCCAATTCCATCTTTAAACAAATGACAGAGCGCTAAATCCCGTGGCTGTCCTGCTCATGTGGAGAACTCATGATATTTATTACTTCAGATTCAAAGACTTTGTTGTCACAAGGGTAAGGCAAGGTGGAAGGGAACAAGTACTTGCACAGGGACTGATAAAATGCATACTGCTGCTTCTTGAGGAGTAACTTCACCCAGCTTTATGTTGCTGCCAGTTCCTTGGTGGTTGCCTTTCCTGTACTCCCTCTAGTGGAGTAAAGAAACCAGTTTGAAGCTTCAAGACAAGTCAGATTTTGAACACTGATTCTGCTCTTTACAGCTCACGTGCCAGCTACAATTCTTTTAGCAGTTAGATAGATTTTCATATGAAGCTGTGTTCAATAAAGTACATTTCCAGAGGATATGACAGAAAATACAGAACAAAACAACTGTTCTAGGTTTGAAAATTTGCAAGCTTTAACCGTTCTCTTATCCCATTTAAATGAGATGAAGGTATTAAAGGCTGACATGGCATTGTTTAAAGTGACCATAAGATGCTAGCAGTCCTCCTTTTGACATTGTGAGAAAAGGAAAAGCAAGATGATCACTTGATACCAAATTAGTTCCAAAACTTCTGTTTTTAAGAGTTTGGAAACTCAGGAAATAGTTCATCTTTTTACCCCCTCTTCATCTTTTACTTTTTGCGTCAAATTACATTATTGCAATGAAGCTTAGACTTGAAACAAATCCAGTGCAGTGGTACTGTATGATAATAGGACTGATTCATGTTGCCAGAGTGCAGTTGTGTCAAGGAATTAAAAATAAATGCCTTAATTACATTATTACATACTTTTACAAGGTCTTAAAAACATCACAGATCTGTGGTTTCCAAGTACTAAATTTTATGTATGGTTTTTCTCCGACAGGTGTTTCCTGTAACAGGCTTGGGCAGCATTCGTGCCTGCGTTGTAAGGTAAAGACAGTTGCAAGTAGCTATGATTTTAGACTTGTTCTCTCTTTAGCCTCCAAGGCTGGTATCGAGCCCTGTCATTTCTTACTCTGCATTACTAACAAATATTCATAATTTCTGTATTAGTTTCTGAAGCCTGGGGGCATGATTATGGAGGACAAAAGTGCTTTTATCTGTGTTTGCTTGGTAACCACAAGCCAGTGTTGTGTGTCCTCATGCCAAGTGAGGTGATCTTCACTTTGTCCAGACCTCTGTGTTTAAACTGTGTCTGTACCACGTTTGGGCCTTTTTAAAAAAACAAAACAAATACTTGATCTTGAACACAATCCAAGGCTTTGAAATATATTTTGATCCACCATAGAACTAAGACAATTTAAAAAAATGGGGGTTTTATAAGACAGACAAGTGATTATCTGACCAGAAAACACTGTGGCCAGGATCCAAGAGAAATCATCTCCACAGGTAATCCAGTTTTACACATGCACAGGCTAATTTGTTGATGTCAGGCTTTTACACACTCAGAGGTAATTTTGTATAAAAAGTTCCACCTGCTTCATCATCAGCATTGCCCAGATTTCTCCAGGTGCTGGTTCATTGCCTGCTCTTACTCTTCTTACCCTCCATATGTTTCCCTGCAGTCTCCTATGGCATCAATTTCATATTCCAGGTTCGTTCCTTTCTCCAGCTATCTTCCCTGGCACACCGGTGCTCAACATGTGAAATTTCAGTCTCTAATTCTTTCCCTCAGGTCACTGCATAGATATGTTCTGGCATACATCTCTGATAGTATTTTATTTCATCTTGTCAGTGTAAACCAAAGTTTGCCAGGCTCCTTGTGGGCAGCACTATAATCCGGTCCTTAAGTATGTTACTTTCTCTACTTGTTTATCAGCATTTTTATCCAGCCTCTTCCCCAGGAAGCCATGAAACTACATTCAACACAGAAGTGGTTGCTCTGTGCTCAGACTTCAGTTCTACTGCAGATAGAGCTCATTAAATTTTAATCCCAACCAGAAAATCCTGCTGCTGTTAGACAATTTTTTGCTGGCTTCTTACTGAAGAGTATGCTTCTATGATTAAAACATTTAGCCTTTTTTTCCTCCTTCCACCCCACAGGCTTGTTTCTGTGACGATCATGTGCGAAGTAAGGTTTTCAAGCAGGAAAAAGGAAAAGAGCCTCCCTGCCCTAAATGTGGCCATGAAACTCAGCAGACAAAGGATCTGAGCATGTCAAGTAAGCCTGCTTCTCCAGCTAACAAGCTATACAAGTACCATTGGTGACCACTTTTCTGCATAGGAACACTGAGTAAAGTCCGATTACTTTCAGTTGTTTTGCAAAGGTTTGCTGCATTTGTTTGGGGAAAATATTTGTGTTTCTTTAGCTCTAGAATTAAGCAGTCCCTCATTCTTAATCATTAATTGATTCCGATACAGCGAAAGCTTTTGTTTAGTTTGAGATTTTAGTTATGGAAAAATTGAAAAAAAAAAAAAAAAAAAAAATCAATCACCACTTAAACCTTTATTTCACCTACAAGAAGCCGGCTAATGAATTTCAAAATGTGATTTGATGACATGCATACAATCTACTTCAACCACTCCTTGAATAAATCACAATATGTATTGTGTCTGCAAAGCACATCCAATTACAGGTTTTCTTGGCAAAAGGTTTATCCTAGAAAACAAGTCATACTCTGGGGACAGTTATTGTTTATACGAACTTGGCTGCAGGGGGACAGACTGTGTGTAGCAGAAAGGTTCTGTCAGAATAAGGATTAAGTCTGAAAATGTCAGATTTAGAAGGCGGCTGTCTAAATTTGTATGCTCTTTGCTGAGTAGTGAAAGAGGATGGAAAAGAAACATCAGATGCTCTGCTGAAATTGCTGTTGATGAGCGAGAACATGATGATTTTTCTCTGTTTGCAGCGCGCTCTTTGAAGTTTGGCCGACAGACTGGAGGTGAAGATGCAGATGGAGCTTCTGGTTATGATGCCTACTGGAAGAGCCTCTCCTCCAGCAAGGCTGGAGATGCAGGCGACCGTGAGGATGAGTATGATGAATATGAAGCAGAAGATGATGATGAAGATGACAATGATGAAGGGGGGAAGGATTCTGATACAGAGACCACAGATGTATTCAGCAATTTGAATTTAGGAAGGACCTATGCTAGTGGGTATGCACATTATGAGGAACCTGAAGATTAAGTTTGGTATGCTGGCAAGCTGAACATGCTTGGAAGGAGCCAAGCAGTGCTTTCACTTGAGTTGTGTGCCTGCCAGTAGGATAGTTCTATCAGGCACTTACATACCAGAGTTAGAGAGTAGAGAGCGTGGGACTTCTGCAGTAACTCAAAGTGATATTTTTTTTTTCTTTTTGTATAAACCAATATTGGGTTTGGGACTGGGGGAGAAAACAGGATTATTTTTATTCCCCTAAGTAACCAAAGTGGTTTTGTCCTTGAGTTACTGAGTATAATGGTTCAATGCCATTTTTCCCTACCAATACAGGAATGTGGGAAGGCTGTACAACTTGTTTCCATTTACTCATCAGAAATTAAGTTATTTTTTACAATAGTTTTGTGAACTGATTTAATAAAATTAATGTAGTGATGGGTTGGTGACTGCATTTTTTTGGCTTGCACAATAAAAGTCAACTTCATTCTCTAATGAATTGTCATAAATATTGATCTCTTGAATACTTGGAAAGCAAGTTGTATACAAAGTGTAAATTGACACTAAAATAACTTCCTCATTTATGTAGGTAAGGCAGATCAATGGAGTTTTCTCTGTATTTGAACATTACCCTTCCAGCCTTTTTAGTATTAGATATTAATCAGTGGAGATATATGCAGTCATTACAAGTGCACCCCAGATAATCAAAAGTTTTATTGCAATACAAACGTTGATGTATCCTCTCTGCTACTAAAATCTGTAAGAATTTCTCATGAGCAAAAAAGAAGACTGGTTTCTTCTGTGCCTAGCCTTCAGCTTTTTTCCTTGCACATGATACAATGAAATTAAAAATTTGATAGGAAACAACCTCTGTATATGAATTGATAAGGTGAGAAAGCACAGCGGGGCTCAAAACAGTGGGTTCAAATACTGTTCTGTGCAAATGTGCTGGTACAAAGCAAGCGATCAGCACATCTGAGCTGAGGTGGTGACACTTGCAGAAGTGTTTGCAGTGATTCTGATTTGAAAGTCAACATGTTAATTACCAATCTACACATCTAAATGATAGTATTTAGTTTCTTCCTGTGGGGGAATGTTGAGAGGATAGCAACTTTAACAGCAGACAGATCAAGATACAAGGGCAGCCACCTAAAATGTTACTCTAGCTTTCTAAATGCCATGCTTAAATGCAAGATAAATTCTTGTTACCTGTCAAATATCTGAACTGATTGTAGAATTATCTACTTTTGTGGTGTTTTCTCTACTGTTTCTTAACAACTAAAGGTCATATGTCAGCAGAGCATACCCTACTTGAGAATAATTTTTAATGATGTCAGGATTGCCAGATGAGCATTTCATAACAAAACAGGCTTGAGGAACCTGGCCTTGATACTTTCCTCCTAAATGCTGCCCGTACCAAACACATAAACGACATGAGCTGGAATGCATCCAAGACAAAACCAAACTAACAAAGAGCACAACATGGTTATGGGAGCTGAGGGAAGGAACTGTACTGGAGAGAGGGACATGACCTGATCAGTGCATGTCAAGCGCTTGCTTTCAGAACTGGAGAGGAAGAGAGTTAATGCGCTGTCTGAGAGCCAAATCCCCTTCAGTAATTGAAACTCTAGAGCCAAGCCATCCAGTTTCACATGCTAGCAAAGACCTACCCATCTTATATGTACCCGATGGATGTGTTGATTAGTCTTTTGCATAACCAAACTAGAAATGAGGGAAGTAGGATGCCTGCCAGTTCAACAGTGATTATTTGTGAAATTGGTACCTGTGATAGCATTTATGCTCAACTTCATGTGGTCCAAAAACTTCCACAGCTGACTCCATCTGTGGCTGGTCAGTTCCAGCAACAGTGCCAGTTTTTTATCTTGGCTGATGTTTCAAATACAAAATAATTACACATCAGTACAAAGTTTTATGTAGCATTGAGGAAAGTGTGTGCATTTCTGCATATATGTAAAATTATAGCTGCTTCCATGTCATTTATTAATACTATTACTCAACTGCACAAAATTCCCCTTTAAGGTTCTTGGCTCTTGAATTAGGTTTTTCCGATACGAAATCTGCTGCTGTCACTGGCTCTGCCAAAGGCTGCTGACATAACAGAATTAATCATCATAATCAGAGTAAAGAGTTATTAATTTTCTCATTGAAGTGTCCTTGCACTGATCCTTGCAAGATCAATCCTCCAGAGCTAATGCGTGTTCCTATGATACTGTCATAAGGGAAGGCCACAGCACTGCCTAGAGCAGATGCGCAGGCTACCTGCTGTAATTTAGCAAGGCCACCGCTCCGTGGACAGAGGCATTTACGTGCTTTTTCTTTGTACTGCTGGTCATACCACTGAAAATGCCTGTGCTATGAACCTGGCTGGAAATAGGGCCCAGGTATTAGACCTGCGGTGGCTGGCCTTTGAGGGATCTACACAAGGAAGTTTAAGCTTCTTTAAAGTAATTAGCACAGACAATCATGACCACGTTTTCTACTAATTGGTCAATTTGTGACAGGCAGGACTCAATGCTACAGGTTGCACTTTCTCGTCTTTCTCTGCATGTTTAGTAAAGCTAAAAGCATGTGGTCTGTCAGGGATAGGTTCTCAGAGCTTGCTTTCACAGCAAGTGCATCATTTTGGTTGTCTTAAGGTACATTGCAGGAACAGGATGAAACAGAATGAACATGTATCCTAGCTTTATTAAAAAACAAGTCTGGGAAAAACTTCCAATCTTGTCAGCTTCATTTTTCTTCACTGCTATTAGTCTACTTTGTAGTGTCTTGGAGGAATGTTAGTAGGGCACTGACAGGGACATATGCCATCTCTACACCTAAAATGTAAATTAGTGCTTCATTTACTTATTCTGAATTCAGCAGCTGATTTAGCTGTTGCTAAATCTGAAGGCAAGGATGCTGTGATACTGATGGCATACATTTTACAACTCACAGGATCTCAAGCTAGTTCAGACACTGCCACAACTCACTAAGTACTTTCAGGTGACTGCTGAGCTGCTTGTCAAAGAGAGATGATTTTTCAAGTCTCTGGAGTCCAGGACTTAGTGCCTGGGTGCACCAAAAGCCCCTTGCATAACTCCCTGTTTTTAAGATTGCAGTACTGCAGAGTGCTCTTCCTGATGGGGCAAGAGTCAGATAAATAAAATCCTGAGATTGCAGATGACATCAAATTTTCCTTTGAATATCTTATCCCTGATTAAACAAAATTCTGAGCTGAGAGAAGGATAGTTTTAACATGTAATCTGGAATACTTGAGAGTTACATATAGCACTCCAGAAAACTAAGATCTTGATAAAGTCTTACACCCACTTGAGTTTTTTCCCACCTCCGTGATAACCATTTAAACAAAGCTTAAGCAGAATTTGAATCAAAATCAGAGTAATACTGTGCCTGTAGACCCTAAAAAAAACCTCAAGAGCTCCGGCCACTTCTGTACGCACTTTTCTGGCATTACTTTTGTTGTGACAGCACCAGATCATTATGTATTCATTGGGTGCTTATATGGATTTAGTGTATTTTCATTTATACTCAGGTGCAATTTAGCACCTCTGACTGGGAGTCTGATGGTCTGTTGCAGAGTTGCTGGTTTTGTTTCCAGCAAATTAATATGAAGATCATTGTAACGTACTGGACAGTTTCAACTGCCAGTTGATCAAGTAGTAGCATGCATTTGCAGAGAACTGGAGGACAAGCTTCAGAAGTGCTTAGAGTCCTATTTTCTCAGGCAGAAACAACGTTAGCATGTCCTACAAGACATTACATGCACCTATTCAGGTCCTGATCCTATTTCCAGAGGAACCAATGGCAAAGCTCACATTTGTCCAAGTGGGGGAAGTTTAATAATCTTTAGTATCTATGGTTCATATTAAAATGTCAAGAGGTGTTATGGAACATAACATGAGGATAAGCTGAAATGACGAAGATGGATCAAAGCTTAACACGAGGTTAATGTGCTACCATTAGCATAAAAATATTTGTTCTGAATTTCAACAATTCTGCTGGAAAGTGCTTTCAAGGCTGAAAGAGGAAGCTGTTTAAAGCAGGAAGAGATAAGATTCTACAAAACACATTTAACAAGATGTAGAAATTTAATTACTCATCTCCTGAAAGTCTGCATGTAGTCCATAAATATTTGCTAAAAGCTCGAGGCAATTAGGACACAGGCAAATTTTATCATCTCTGCTTTGTAGGTACATAGATAGAAAAAACAGTAATTGACAAAATCACAGCCTGAGCCATCCAGTTGGCAACAGCCCTCTGCGGCTTGGACTCTCCAACTCCCTACCCATGAAACTCTAAAGTAAACATATTTTACAACTAATGACGCTTGTTTGTCAAGATTATGTGTACTGTAATTAGCTACTACACATCTGAAATTTGAAGCTTGACCTAATTTTTAGCTTTCATAACCAGGATAGACAAAAAAAAGAGCAAGAGAATCTCATAGACATGATGATCATCCTATGGAAAAGCCACTGGTTTCCCTTTGCTAAACAACAGGCTCACAAGCCTGTACTTTGTCTTCTGCAGCTATTTACTTGATTAGATACTTGTGCAGTATGGCGGGGGGGAAAAAAGGAAAAAAAATCACAATTACATTTCAGTCTCTCACCAAATTAAGCTACTACTACTAAGCATGCAGTTTTTCTGTTAGTTTACAACCATCCCATTTTTAAGCAGTTTTTGAAAGGAGAAACAACTACAAAGCATGAGAAAGCCTTTTGTAGATACGTCTACTCATACTATTTTCTAACACTGGAGTATACAGTTTGCTGTGTTCTTTTTAACCCCACTCCTGAAGCCAGTGATTCTTCCACAATGTTCCCCAAACTTAACTGTAATTGGAAATTCACTTTTCTTTCCTTCTGAAATGACAAGTATTGAATGCCTACAGGGCCTGAATAATATTTTGACTTCATGATGATATTACATCTGTTGTAGATTTTCACATTACAAAACCACTAAGTTGTTTTTGGTTTTGTTTTTTTTTAAATCTTTTTTTATTAGAGTTAGAATGCCAAAGACCCATAATTTGTTTAGAAGGTGCTACAAATATTTTACTACTATAGTCGCCTGTTCTTTTTCCTACTGTTTTATTTTTTGGCATAGAAAAAGAGGTTGATTCTTTTGAATCACTGCTACTCAGGCACATAAACGCTTGGGCTGCCTCCAGCCTGATTTAAATTCAGCACCTTATTTTGATGGCAGAGAGAAGGATGAGCCCCTTTGAGATTTTCCCAGCAGCAGGAGAGATGCGCAGGGACCTCACCCTTGATGTCAGCATCAGTTTGAGGTGGTATACCCTCCTGCCAGTTCGAGGTGGTAACAACTGAAATGGGACCTTTCACTAGGTTACTTTGGAAGCCTGCAGAAACCCAAATGCTGCAGCCTCTACCTCTCTTTACATGCATACTGGCTGGAAAAACAACTACAAAGCTGAATCCCATGAAGAAAGTATTTTTACTTCTTCCTCA